AACTCCAGCGAGATCATTGACCCGGTCAGCCTCAGAAGGGACACACACGCAACCTCCCCTCTGGAGGGTAGTAAACATCTCTTCGAGTGAGTTATCGAATGTGTAAGAGGCGAACTGCAGCATGCGCGAGTTATGGTCCAGACCAATCTTTGTTCCGTGTGCTTCAGCACTGGTGACGATAGCAGAATGCTCGAGGACCACTCCCTTGGGTCTTCCGGTGCTACCACTGGTGAAGATGACGAAGACTGGATGATGCGGCTGTACACCGGTGTAGATTGGGCCTCGAACTGCTGGAAGACTTTGTAATAGCGAGTCATCTACAACAATCACCTTGTCTATGAGTCCTTCAAATTTTTCGGCGCGGGCAGCTGTCGTCAGAACAATCTTCGAGTCAGCGTCCTCAAGACGTGTCTGCAAGGCGTTCGCAGGATGCGTAGCGTCAAGAGGAACAGCAGCGCCACCTGCCTTGATAACGGATAGCATGGCGATGATAGCAAACATGCTTTTATCAAAACATGTTGGTACAAATGTCTCGGGCGCGACGCCTAGCTGGACGAGATGATGTGCTAATCGATCGGTAACGACGTCCAACTCAGCGTACGTATACTCTCCGTCATGTGCACATATTGCCTGAGCATCGGGCTGGCGGGTAGCCCATTGAGAAAATCTGTCGTGTACACATTCATTGATGGTTGCTGGCATGATGTTCCAGTCGTGGATTTGCTGAAGATGTTTTGGGCTGATATGTTCCAGAGTTGAAATGCGTCGCTTCGCATGGAAAACGATATTTTCCAAAGCTCGAATAAAAGTGTCAGCGACGTTTGTAGCTTGAACCGCAGTGAGGTGATCCGTCCAATAATCGAGATCGATTGCTGCGCTGTCCTCACCAACTTCAATATTAATACTGACCGGATACCTAGGCATAATGTTAGTAAAGGAATGGCGGAGTTGTTTGTTTGAGACTTGAATCTTCAATCTGTAACTTACTCAGTCGGGTCATAGATTGGGCGAACTTCCTGTAAGCGGACTCCGGAAAGATCGACAGCCTGTTCCTGAGGCAAGCGACGGTACGACAGCGCGGTGTTGAACAAGTTCGCGCCCGACAATTGGAGGGCATGTTGAACATCAGCAAGTGCGGTGTGACGATGTGGGAGAGCCTCCATGTAGTCTCTTTGAACGTCTTGTAACACATCGAGCAGACACCGGGATCCATCGGAAAAGTTTACCCTACAGACCAGAGTATTGATCAATGGACCGACGATGCTCTCCACGTTTTCAATTTCTTCCGAATCCCTTGCAGATGTCAGGTATCCAAACGTGACATCATCGCTACCAATATAGCAACTAAGCGTAAGCGCCCATGCAGTGTGAAAGACATTTGACAGCGTGATACCGTTGGCGTTGCAGAAGGATTGGAATTCGGGCAAGCTGATGCTAGACAGATCCATACGAATCGTGACGAGCTTCTTTTCCAGGACCTGGCCTTGTCCATCGTCAAGAACGGGAAATGAAGAGATCTCACTACCATGTAAGTAGGACTTCCAGAAGTCCAGACTGGCTTCTGCTGGCTGCCGGGTAAGCCACGCAATGTATGCGCTGAGCGGAGTACAGTCCAGTGTAAGTTGTCCCTGACATGCTGTCCTCAACTCACTAATAAGTAAGCTCATAGAATGCCCATCCATGATCGCATGGCTAATATCCAGGGAGCAAAATATCCTTCCGTCGGCCGTTTCACATATTGTTAGGCGATGGTTTGGGCATTGACCGTCATTGTAAGACATAGATCGCTGCTGCTCAATGATTCTGATAGCATCATGTTCATCTGCAGCCTCAAGGCGGACAATGTTGGCCTCAATGTTCTTGAGGACAATCTGGTTGTAGAGACCCTTAACACCCACATTCTCGGCGAAAACAGTTCGCAACGCTGGATGGCGCTTGACAACCTGTTGCCAAGCCTCAGCAACAATCTTCCAAGACATCTGGGACTCTGGCGCTAAAACTTCATGAAGTGTAGCAGCAGCATAGTACCCAGCATCTTTAGTCTGTGATAGTAATAGACCTTCCTGCATGCTGGAGCAGGGATATATGTCTTCCACTTCGGTGTCAGGAATTCCCATGGCCGAAAGTCTATCAAGAATGGAGTTGAAGCTTTCTTCGGTCAGAGACAAAAGCGGAAAATCGCTAAGCGTTGGCTTTGGCTCCAACACATTGAGTCCGCGGATCATGTTTGAAATGGTTGCTTCGCACTCTGAAACCCATCTCAAAACATGTGCCTGATGGAGCATATCACGGTTGAAAGTAAATGCAACCTTGAGACGGCCTTTGAAGACAAAGGCGGAGATTTCGAAAAGTCCCCATCTGCAAGTACTATGGCCAAAGTCAGAAGTACCGCCAGCTTTACCAGTCTCACCAGCCATCTTGCCCACTGGCTGAAGAAGAGCGTCTGCCCTTTCAAGTTGCTAACAACCATATTAGTGGAACAGCGACAATGAATGAGACTTTCGACATACCTGATATTGGCCAAGATAATTGAACAAGATCTCCATTGGCCAGTGGGACTTGAAGTGTTCGCGGCCATCCTCGGTGAGGCATCGACGTGCAAAGTATGGCCGACCGTTGCCAGGAATCCGGCGTTTGAAATCTTTTATCTTACGGACTGTATCTGTGAGTTTCTCGGATGGCGTCACGAGGATGGGTGACAAAGCAGTGAACCATCCCACCGTACGAGTGATATCGATACTGGAGTCCCATGGCTCGCGGCCATGGCCTTCATTGAATATCGCGGGAATTGGTCGGTCAGTGAAAACTAGAGACCAAGATTGAATCAGAGACGCAAGCAAGACTTCAACCGGCTCCGTCTTATAGGCATTGTGGCAAGTCGTGAGAAATGCCGAGCTGAGCTCGTTGTCAAGCTCAAAGCTGGCATGGCTTGCATTGCCGTAGGTGTTATCCTGGTGCTGGATGCCCCAATATGAGAAGTCCATGTGTGGGACATCGACTTCGGGAAGAATCTCATTGAGCTCCAGAGACTCTGCATGCTCCTGTTGCAGTTCCGCCCATTTCTGGAATGGAAGTGCTGGCGCCAAGAGCTGCCCACCTTTCAAGATTTCTTCGAGCTCTTCCAACAGCAGTCGCCACGTGACTAGATCAACAACGAGATGATGGCCAGTGAGAAACGCAAATTGCTGAGTTCCGTAATCAAAGAACTCGGCGGCGAACAGTGGCCCAGCGGCATGATCAAGGCATTGCTGCGTATCCTCAATGGAGGCGTCTATCGTGGCTTGGGAGGTAACGGTAGAATGGCGGAAGCGATAAGACCCTTCGATGTCATCTAAAGTAACTATTAGCTGCGGGAATAGTAGATTCAAGTCAATTATATGTATGAAGGCTCGAACTGAGCAAGGAGATGGAACAAAGCAGGGTCACGTGGGGTGACATACTGGTGAGACGCTGTTGCCATCCGTGTTCAGCTGAATGGGAGAAACGTGCGCGTAGCATCGAATGACGAGTGACAAGCTGTCTAACTGCAGCGTGAAATTCATTTGCACTGGTTATTCGTGCGACCCGAAGATAGAATGATTGATTAAAGTGGCCGTCTGTATTTGGCCGTTGGAAGTAGAGAGACTGGATCGGTGAAAGGTCGAAGTCTTCGTCAAAGTACTCCTCGTGGTCGTATGAAGAGCTTTCAACCTCTTTGACCGCAGTCGCCAGCTGGGTGATGGATCGACTTCGTAGAACATCTTGGACGCCAAGACTCAAACCGTCCTTGCGGCACTGACCAACGACCTGCATTGCAGAAATAGAGTCTCCGCCTAAGGATAGGAAGGACTGGTCGAGGGGGACATTAGATATGTTGAGGACGTGGGCCCAAATTGATTGGAGACATTGCTCCATCTGATTGTTCGCATGAGACGCCATTGCTGGTTGTGATTATGGAATACCTGAAAGACAATGAGTACAGTGCATAGAAACTGGACAGGTCATGGAAGCAGTTGACATCACGCCAGAAGCGAACAAGGTAATGCCTTGTATGCTTCACGTTTGGTAGGATACAGCAACAGGGATAAATGCGAAGGAGGATGAACCTACCAAGGCCTGTGGTACTGTATTCGACAACACTGCGGGTTAGCAAAACACTGAGATTAGAATTTCTTACTATGGGAGATGGGGAGAGGGGTCAGAGGAGGGGTATGTAAAGCGCAAGTATGGCGAGAAATGGCGAGCAAGGCAGGCTTGGAAGCAATCAATGGATATTCAAAGCATTCACGTCGAAAGGTCAATGACGGAAAATATGCAGCAGCCTCAGGCAGAACGCCCAGTTCGGCCGGTTCTTTTAGGAATTGCTATTGCCTCTGAATTGAGTCAAACGAGTGGTGCGACAGCCGCGGGGCTTACGACTCCTGAACCGCCCCATCCCAGTCTGCAGGGCTGGGGTGAAGTGACTACTGGGTATTTTGGTCTATTGCAAGCCACACACACACTTGAGTAGCACACAATGCGAAGGCGAACAGCCGGTGCTTGCAGACAGAAAGGCACGCATGGTCGTCGAGCAGGGAGAAGCGCTAGATGCAAGGGCCGTCGAGTGGTCATGGACATGTAGGGATGGAGCGATCGGCAACGTGACTTGCAGCCAAGTGGCCATCGTTGGATAGACTCGAAGGGAGGTGTGTTTCTTCTGGGGAAACATGGTGCACCGGATGTAGAGCGGCCCGGGAGCAAATCTCCCAACATGGAAAAGCAAAAAGTCTGCTGTCAAGTCGACAGCCAAGGGGGGCCGGGGCGGGCGCTGGCAGTTGAGTAGGCAGGTGCAAAGGAGTGACGTCGGCACTACGCCGGCAGCGGTGATATGACGGGAATCCTACGACGGCCGAGTTCATCCATATTGTGGCGTTGATGTATTGCAACGTGGTGGACGCAGCAGCTCGTGTTCGCGGTGGGGAAGAAGAACACGGATGGGAAAAGGTGAGGTTTGGAAGTGTGGGCGGCTAGTCGGATTGAGACTAGCGCTCAGCTGCAAGAAGCAACGCTACGACCCGCTTATGTAAGTCAGTTCCCACAATAGACGGAAGGACGGAGGCTTTGCCAGGATGCCGGGGAGATCGACGTCCCCGCTGCCCAGCGTCTGGTTGGGCCTGGAGCGGCGTCGTATTGCTTCTGGCCACTCGACTGTGGACTTGACACTGCATACCAAGTCTGTAGTACGCCGAGACGAGGCTTCCTTTGGGGGCCATCTTGAATCCCTCCGGGGGCCAGCCGCCAGCTTCCACCGTCACCCAGCCGTGTCGCCATCCTCGCACTCGTACTGACATACCCCGCTTGACATCCCGCAGCCATTTCCGCCGCCGGTTCCGCCGTCGGAGACGCCCTCTCCGTTGCGTCTTCGCACGCCACCTCGTTCATTTGCACTTATGGCTGCAGATGGCGCCTCTACCAACGTCTGCGACAGGCGCCGTCTAGTTGCTTGTACAGGGACCGGCTTGCCCGTCCGGCGGGGTGTGCCGCTACTATCGCTGTAGTGGTGTCCACATAACGGCTAACGCACCCTCAGCTGCCGCTTCTCACTGGTCCGAGACACGGTCTGGGGCATCGTTCCCCTGTCTTCGCTGATCACTGGCCATCTGCCGGCTTCAGCCGCTGCATCCCAGAAATCCGGTCGCCTGTCTACCTACACTCTCTACCCCGTCCATTGCCCAACCGCTCGTCTACCTGCCACGGTCAGCACAGGTCACACCAGCGCCCAGCAAAATCCATATGCGGTGCACTCCAAACCATCCATGTCATGTCATGCCTGGGAACGCTGACGTATCACACCTTTCTCCTCAGGTTCCATGACGGATTCCATCGCCTCGCCCTGTTCATGACCCCCATCCTTCGCCCTGGTAGCCAAGCGTCTTGACTCAAGTGCGGTCAAATTTGAAAAAACCTGGTCGCCGAATCTGGACATGATTTGGATTAGTCGGCCCTTCCAAGAATCCGAACATTCGCCTACACAAGGCCCGGTCTCTGGATATTAACTCACATACTTTCTGCGCAAGCCACATCCATTCCACCTAGTATGAAAACAGCACCGGATTACTCGAGTCATCGTGAAGCATCTCTTCGGAATTGCCATTAAGGCCTGCCTCGGGCAATTCAAGGCGGCAAGATCTTCACTGCATCAATCACCGTTACACATGAAGTCACATTGCAAGCCAGTGAACGATCTTTACGACTGCGTTACCTCGGACTAGGAATCTTGCGTGAGACTCGTTGAGCATCATTTTGCGGGTCTCAGTGCCCACCGGTCCACCTGCCCCTTTCACAGCCATGGCCATTCTGCTGGGGACTGATGCGAGCGCGTATCGCCCGCGCCTCATATCATTGTCTGCTGAGTGGCCGATCTGTCAGGTCACACGAAACATCTCTTCAATTCTCAAACAACATGAACTTCTAGAAGGAAAACTTGAACAGAACCATTGCTTTTCTCCAGCCACTGTTTGAACTGGCATACCGACGGTGGTGAGGTTTCAGGTTCCCCCTCCAACCATCTACATACGAACCCGACAACAGCCAGCGGCTGTGGCAGAATTAGCCTGTTTGCTAAATGGAGTCGTCTTAATCCCGGTATCAAACGTACGCTAACCTTTATTGTCGTCTCATGGGACCGTCGATCCACAAGCTCAGCTCTTCTTGGATGCATGGGATTGCAGATCCCGATGGACTATCCAACGAACCCAAGAGAAATTTGCAATCTCTGTCACAGCACACGTGGCCAAATTTGTAGGATCTAGGCCGCAACATTACTCAGAACAGCCATCACTGCGCAGCAGGAACAGCATGCAGAGACCAGGTGAAGCGAGGCGGCTCCTCTCTTCCGCCAACAATCCAACCCAAAATTGGAGGCCTATTTTCGTCGGCGAGTTACAGTTTGATGTGACAAAACCATGTTCCTCACCCATACCTATAAGCCTCGAGGTTCAGAAAACATTGCAAACACTGTTTTGATTGTTTTTTTCTTCGCATTACGGCAGAATTACTCAAATTAGTCCTGGTGGCAGACGGGAGCCACGGATAGATCGTTTGGCTCTAGCCTCCCGTGAACGATGGCGATAGATGTACACGCCAACGGAAATTGGTAAGCCTGCCGTCTTTTCCAGATGTCAGGGCAAATTAAGCGCGATCGTCATTCTGACGGCAGTAGTCCGGCAGCCATAAATCGTAAGCTCCCATCTGAGCCGTGCCAAGGCGACAGCGTGGTTGTGCAATTAGGGTTGAGGATTCCTTTCCCGGACCGCCATCAACTAGTGTTGGAACACGGGGCGATGGGGTAGCGTAGATCCTTGCTACAAATTCGGATGAGGAATGCAGCTAAACCAAATGAATATGCACGTCCCTTGTCATCTTGTATGTCTTACCAACGTATTGAGCAAGCATGCACTGGCCCTGGACCAGGTTTCGGGACATGCTTCAACGCCTACGACTACCAAGCAGAGCATAGCAACTATGTGTGATGCCTGCGTCGGCGTGCATGATATCCACGTTTGTGCTTTACGGAGTCGATCACAGCGAGGTATGCCGATCTTACACCATCTACGCGGGAATTTAGAGAAAAACTCAGCGTACTAGGGCCACGTAAAATTTACCGGCAGTCTCATAATGGCGAACAGGAGTGTCTGTGCGCCAGTGGAACATTGATGTTGTGGCATTGCAGAGCATTGGGCCTGTAGGTCCACATGCACACACTACCGCCGAGTCCAAGCCTTTCGTACTGGTGTGCAGACACATGGACGCCGATGAGGCAGGTAAATAAGGAAAGCAGCATTCTGCCACCGGCCCACTCAGCCTTCGTATCGGCAGAAACTCCTTTGAAGCATAAGGGGACGTCGGATTATCAATGCCCACATCCCATACTTTCTTACTTTCCTTAATGTTTCTCTCTAATTCCTGAGTAGCTCCCACCAGTCACAGTCATGCTCTCGAAGACATCGACTCCGAATGTGAACTGCACCTTGGTGGATAACACCTTCGGTCCTTATGCCGGGCCTTACTGTCGAGGGGGGTTCGATTTCACCCTCCTCTTCTCTGAGGTTTTTCTTTCAATTGTACCTCTATCTATACTCTTAGCTGTCGTTCCGTTCAGGTCTTTCTACCTGTGGCGAAGGCAGACAAAAGTCAAAAAGTCAACGCTATTGCACACAAAGCTGGTAAGATATACTCCACGATGTAATGACTGCGACTAACATATGTGTAACAGATAGGATGGGCCCTCTTCGCTGGCTTCGAGCTGGCCCTTCTGGTAATATGGGCAAGTCGCAAAGCTCACGTAAGGCCTGTTGGGCTAGCCTCCGCTACTGTCAGCTTTGCTGGGGCCTTACTGCTAGGCCTCTTCTCATATGTGGAACATATGCGCTCTATCAGGCCGTCACTCCTGCTCAACCTGTACCTTTTCTTCACATTCTTGTTCGACATCGAGCGGTCCCGCAGCTATGCATTGATGCCTGAATTAAGTCTTGTGGCTACTGTGTTCGCTACACGGCTTGCAGTGAAGCTATTTCTGGCCGTAGCGGAGTGTAAAGATAAACGAAGACACCTCCTTCCAGAATATGCCAACTGCCCCCCAGAGGCTACAAGTGGTATTTACAAACGTGCCTCGTTCTGGTGGCTAAACGAGTTATTCAAGAAGGGTTACTCCAATGCTTTGACTGTGGATGATCTCTTCCACTTGGATAAATATCTACGTGCAGACTACATGCACAATGTATTGGGTTCAGCATGGGCGCGATGTAAGTACATATCTAAATTTACCCTCGCTAAGCAGTTTGCTGATCTTTTCTTCTCCCTTAAAGTGGAAAGTGCCAGCGCAAATGCTCTATTTACCACAACCGTGGGAAGGTTGAAGTGGTCGATCTTGGCAGTTGTCCCGCCTCGGCTCTGTCTGATTGGCTTCAACTTCTGTCAGCCATTCCTCATCAACAGAGCAGTCAAGTTCTCCCAGGAAACCTCAAACGTTCAACAAAGAAACATTGGATATGGACTCATTGGCGCTTACATCATCGTTTTCGTCGGCATCGCTGTATGTGCTCTTCTCAGATGAGAAATTCAGATGCTAATGCGAACATTACCTCTAGGTCTCCACAGGACAATACATGCATTTGACATTTCGCTTCATCACACAGATGCGTGGTGGCCTCGTCTCAATGTTGTACAGCAAAGCTACCGAGGTTGCTTTGAACGATGTTGACACGGCCTCTTCGATCACACTGATGAGCGCTGATGTGGAACGCATTGTCACTGGAATGGAAACTGGACACGAGGTAAGCAAACATGATGCACCACTCAGAACCGAGCAAGTAAACTAACTCTCAATTTCTTTGCAGATCTGGTCCAACACATTGGAAATTGGACTGGCCATGTACTTGCTGGAGCGACAACTGGGCGCAGCATGCGCTATACCCATTGGCATCGCGGTTTTGTCACTGCTGGGATCCATTGCTGCGACTAGCATGGTCATGCAGAGACAGGCACTTTGGCTTGAGGGCATCGAGAGGCGCATCGCTGCCACAAGTGCTATGCTCAGCTCCATGAAGGGAGTAAAGATGGGCGGTCTCACCGAAGTCCTTAGGGAAGATTTGCACAAGCTGCGAATTGATGAGCTCAATATCTCCAAGAAATTTCGAAAGCTACTTATCTGGACCATGGGTTTCAGTAAGCCATCATCTGGTTCGACATATGCATCATCTGCTAACCATGATCAGCATACATTTCCCCCATTGCATCTCCCATTCTTGCGTTCGCAGTCTTTTCAGTGATCGCACAGAATAGTGGAGGCAAAAGCACACTTGATACTGCAACTGTCTTCACATCTCTGTCTCTGTTCACCCTTCTCACGGAGCCTCTCGGTTCGCTCATCATGGCTCTTTCGTCCCTCATGGGTGGCGTTGGATCATTCCAGCGAATTCAGGAGTTCATCTCACAAGCCCCACGCGCTGACCGCCGTGCATACACACCTCCCCATACATCCAGTGCTACATGGCTTTCAGAGGCAGGCAGTCTATTTGAGAAGGGATCCGTCGCTTCTCAAAAGAGCCGCTCTTCCACCGAGGTCAAAGAGTCCAACACATCTCAAGCAATCGTCATCGAAGACGGCTACTTTGGGTGGGATCCAGAAAAGCAGCCGGAAGGCACCCTGCAGCAGATCGACATGATTGTTCCACGAGGCAAAATTACCATGGTCGTGGGACCGGTAGGTTGTGGCAAATCAACCCTGCTTAAAGCTGTGCTAGGAGAACTGCCGGTCATGGGTGGTACCCTGCAAATGTCATCCCTGCGCATCGCCTTTTGTGACCAAAGCCCATGGCACACAAACGGAACTGTCCAGGAAAGCATCATCGGCGTATCGAATTTTGATCAACGTTGGTATTCGTCTGTTGTTCGAGCCTGCGCCTTGGATGACGATCTCGCACAGCTGCCCCAAGGTGACCAAACAGAGATCGGCAGCAACGGTATTGCGTTGAGTGGGGGCCAAAGCCAACGACTTGTGAGACAACCCCGCCTATCCTCCCCGCTTCTACACTTTAGCCAATACTAACGTATACACCCTGCAGGCCCTTGCAAGAGCAGTTTACGCACAAAAAGACATAATAATCCTCGACGATTGTCTCAGCGGTCTTGACGGCCAGACAGAGAACCGAATCTGGCACAGCCTATTTGGCAAGCGAGGATTACTAAGGCGTTGCAGGACGACTGTTCTCATATCTTCATCATCCGGTATGTGTCAATTTCTCTCTATTAACCATCAAGTCTTTCTAACTTTCACTCTGCAGCCAAGCGGGTTCCTTACTGTGATCATATCGTCTCTCTCAATCAAGATGGAAAGATTTCTGAACAAGGGCCTTTTGAAAAGCTGAAGAGGTCGGGCGGTTACGTATCAGGATTCGATCTTCCAAAGCCCGACTGGAACTACAGCCCAGAGAAACATATTTACGAGGCTCCGCCTAGGTACACCGAGCGTCAAACGGACAGCAGCAAGCTCATAGGTGATGAGAGTCAATCCGAAGCCAACCGCCGTATGGGTGACACTGCCATCTACCTTTATTACATTGGTTCAGTAGGATGGATTCCCACCTTGATCTTCATGTTTTCAATCATGATCTTCATTTTCGGCACTATTTTCCCTACCGTCTGGGTGAAGATGTGGGCAGATTATAATCAGGATCATCCAAACGAGCGCCTCGGTTATTGGTTGGGTATCTACTCGACTTTCGGTGGCTTGGCAATGATCTTTCTGGTTGTGAGTTGTTGGCAGCTAATCATTACTATGGTTCCTCGCTCGGGTGTTGCATTTCACAGGAAGCTCTTAGATACAGTGCTTGGGTAAGTGGAGAAAGTCACTGTCGATTCAATCACAGACTAACAAAGAAAAGCTCACCCATGTCCTTCTTCTCGACAACCGATTCTGGAGTCACTCTCAACCGCTTCAGCCAAGATCTCATGTTGATCGACATGGAGTTGCCGTTGGCTGCATTGAATACTTTCGCTACATTCGTGCTTTGCGTTGGTCAGATGGCCCTCATCGCTGTATCAGCTCCTTACGCAGCCATTGCTTTCCCAGTCGTAGCCCTCAGTGTTTACTTCATCCAGAAGTTCTATCTCCGCACGTCACGCCAGCTTCGTTTCCTCGACTTGGAAGCCAAATCTCCCCTCTACACCCAATTCAGCGAAATACTAGAGGGACTTCCAACGATTCGTGCATTTGGCTGGCAAGAGTATGTTGAGAAGAAGGCCAAGACGTTGCTTGATCGTAGTCAGCGGCCCTTCTACCTACTCTTCGCAATCCAACGCTGGTTAACTCTTGTGCTGGATCTGTTGGTGGCAGCAATAGCCACTATTCTTATTATTCTAGTGGTAACACTGCGAGGAAAGCTCAGCGCCGGATATGTAGGCGTTGCCCTGCTCAATGTCGTGCTTTTCTCGCAAAACATCAAGTTGTTGATCTCGTTCTGGACACAACTTGAAACACACATTGGCAGTGTGGCCAGAGTCAAGAGCTTCACTACTGATCCCATTACGGAAAACAAGGAAGGCGAAGACCGTGTTCCACCACCCCATTGGCCTAGTTCTGGAAAAGTCGAATTCAAGAACATTGAAGCATGCCATCGGTAAGTTCCACAGTCGCACTTCACATATCTAAGCTAACCAGCACAGTCCTGGCGAGCCTGTAATCTCAGACCTCTCTCTTACAATCAAGCCTGGTGAGAAGGTTGCCATTGTTGGCCGAACTGGCAGCGGTAAATCGTCATTAGTTCTTTCTCTTTTCCGCATGATTGAGCTTTCTTCCGGCAGCATTACCATTGACTCACTTCCAATAACGGAGATACCGCGCCAAATTATCCGTAGTCGCCTCATCGGTCTCCCACAGGACGCTTACCTACTCCCCGGCTCCATCCGCCTCAATGCTGATCCTTTGGGTGAGTCCAACGACAAAGCCATCATGGCTGCGATGAAGGATGTTCAGCTCTGGGATATCATTGTGGCCAAGGGAGATGCGGAAAAGTACTCCCATCCACTCGACGTCGAAGTTGACGACCTCCACTTCTCCCATGGCCAGCGTCAGCTCTTCTGCTTGGCGCGAGCCATGTTGCGTAAAGACAAGGCGAGTGTCGTTATTATGGATGAAGCAACTAGCAAGTAAGTTTTGCACCTCTTCGTCCTCCCCATTCAGCAGATACTAACAGCCACTTTCCAGCCTTGATGCAACGACTGATGCTCATGTTCAACGTCTCCTTCGCTCCACTTTCCCTCACCACACTCTCATCTCCGTGGCGCACAAGCTTGACACCATACTTGACTTTGACAAGGTCGTTGTCATGAACAAGGGTCAGCTTGTGGAGTATGGACGGCCACATCAGCTACTAGAGCGCCAGGGTAGCTGGTTTAAGAGCTTGTATGAAGAGGTGGGTATGAGAGAGGATGCCGATGATGATCTTGGTGTAGTGTCCTAAATAAGGACATTTTTCTATATTTTTCATTTTCCCTTTGTCTCCCTTGTGGAAAAATAGCAGGGAATTCAAAAATGGGTATTGCTTACGAGCATTTTGGAAGATTGATATGTAATCTCTTCGGTTTTCTTATTTCATTCACATTGGCGAATACACTTAATGTATTGGACACTCTTTTGATTTCTTTATCCTGTCAGTCTGTGTGTCGCATGTAGGTAATGATAGCTATGAGGAAAAATATTTTCATTTGTCTCTTTCAAGTTGCATGTGGGCTGGCTGGGTAGGCAGGTATCAACCCGGATGGATATCTCTCGATTTTTCAACTTTGACACAAACGATTGGTAATATTTATACAACATACGAGCTACACGAATCAAGACTTGCAATCGCTTAGAGAAGATTTTTTGATTGAACATACATGGGTACTCCCAACTACACTACACCTGGACAACGATTTCAAGTCCACACACACACACACCCACATGAATAGAATGTCGCTTCTGGTAACAAAAAAGTAGATTGTGCCCACTCCGTGTGCATACCTACCGCTTATCTCAACAATTCGACAAATTTTTCCTTATTCTTACACTGCAAAAATATATAAACTTACCCTTACAACATTCCCCATGGCTTCAACCACCCAGTTTATCACTTTCCCATCCCACCCAACATGACTATATCATGCAATTACCCCAAATCAGTCAAGTGACCCATTCACAACCTTGACTTACAAATCCACTATCTATTCATCAAACACACAAAGAATTCATACACATCAAGCTTACAAAACTACAGTACACTCCCACCACCCATCATACACAAAAAGTATCACGTGATTCGCATAGAGGCAACCTGCCTCCCTACCAACTCCTCCCATAGCGCCAACTCCGCAGCCACAACCCCCAAAACGCCCGCGCCGCACCCGACCCGGACAAGCCAATCCTTTTCGCTTGCACCCTCCTTTGTTTTTTCCTTTCTCCAACGAACCCAGCAGCCAGGTTCCCGACACTTGCGATACATAGGGGTATCCTGGCTCTATAATCGGGTGTTGGGCGCAGGGCTACGGCGCAGGGCGTAAAAGGTTGCAGGGAATATGGGATATGTGTGGGTGGGTTTTGCAACGCACGTGTGTAAAGTAAGTTGGGGGTTGGGGTGGGCCTCGCTTGGAGCGAAAGGCGACGACGTGATGACGCTAGTTGGAAGGGGGACTCTTCTTCTTTTTTTTGAAGTAAGTGTTCATGTCCCCACCGACTTTTGAGGGTTTGTTTTATGGACACCGGAGGTCCGTGGAGGAGGGGGGGAGTCGGAGTGTGGGTGGGTGGGTTGAGGGGTTGGGAATAAGGGTGGAGACACTTGCTGACTAGCTTTTGTTTGCCGAACGTGATGAGGGATGATTACTCGCCCTAGGCATTGACTTTTTTGCTTTGCTTTTTCTTTTGCTATCTTCTTCTGCGAGTAATGTGGGAAAGGGTTGGGCTGCTACGTTCGATTCTGCACGGTTTGGTTGAGTGAGTTTATTTTTTTTCTTTGGGAAAAAAAGGGTGGTGTGGAGGGTTTGGCGCGATACGCACCGGTGAGGTTGAAGGTGGTGGTGTGTGTGGGCGCACGGCGACAGGTTGCACAGGGCTGGGCGCTTTCTTTCGTTTATCCCATGTCGCACGAGCTAGAAAAGCAAGATAAGTGCAGAATCATTGTAGAGGAAGGGGAAAAAAGAATGTTGGTCGTTAGGTGTGCACGAGACAGGTGCTAAATTCGGCGCGACGTACCCGAGAGCAGAAGCAAGGAAATGTGTTGCGTGTTCTAGGCTGTTTTGGTGTTGCAGGTCTTGCTGCACGATGTGTCGATTGACTCCTGTTGTGTCACGCGAAAGGGCTGCACGGCGCTGGTGTATTTTCGTGATACATGACATTACATACGAATCAAGCGGGTGATGTGCAGGGCCGCGGAGGTGAGGTCTACGGATTGGGGATGTGGTCAGAACAGGACTAGCGTTTGTTACACATGACGACGCACTGCTTCGGGTAATACCTTTGGCTGTAGAAATTTCATGGTTACTGGCGCTGTGTCAAAACGTTTGGTGTATGAAGGCGTCTGCTGAACGACAAATTCGGGTTGTACCCATTCGTATCTCGCAAACAGGACCCGCTTAGGATGCGTTACCTATCTTTACTGTTGTTTCGATCATACCACTCAAACTGATCATCGCTTCATCTATCGAAAAGTCGTGCGTTACTAATAGATTGCCGGTTTGAGTCCGGATACGACATAATGATCATTCGATGTGGGTTCGGGGTTTTCTCTATGCAAGTCAAATCAAGCGAGGACACAACACGTAACTATTGTGATCTCCATCGCATCAACAGTGGGCACAATTCTGCAGTACTATATGCAGGACAAATCAAGTAGCTTCTCAACATCTGCATGACAAGTCACTCTCATTACTCGATCAACGCTTGCTCAATATACCCACACCTCTTCCTCGTCGATACCCGCAATTCTATCCGCTCAGATGAAATTTCAAAAAGAGTATTTGTCATAACCAGAGAGTAAAATCCTGAATTTTGAATAAAGTCCCGACCAACAAGAAACAGCACTTGGTAACTATTGTGTATCAAGTAAAACGTGCATTATGATATCAATGATGCATTAAAAAATAGAACACTCAAGATGAATCAAAACATGAAAAGTGATATTCGGATGCATAAAACACTCATACAAGATTCGCTACTCACATTGAAAATTTACTCTACACTCAATCAAATTGAAACCCCGAACTGCAGTTTGACAAACTCAACAACCCTACTCACCACCTCAAGCATCGCAACAAAGAAACCATACAATTTTTCCATTAAACCTGCAAAGCTACACTACACGCTATACCTCTTCCCAATATACCCAAGCACCAGGCGTGACCAGCAGCCCTGTCCAACATCCAAGTGTACTACGTCTATCCAATACAGATTTACAAACATGCTCTGTATCCTTCTCATCTAACATCCCATATCATGTATTTCCCATAATGAAAGAAAAAGTGTTCAATGTATATTCCTCATAAGAACGCGGGCGTATCTTCCCGTACCAACACCATACCTCCTCTACGCGTGCCGGCACTGCCACCAAGCGCGGTTGTGCTGTTGCGTTGTCGAAGGAAGTTTTCCGCCATGCGATGACCTGGGGTGTCGCTTCTCGCGGACTCGGCATTGAAGAGGGTTGAGGGTTTGGGGGGAGATGCGGGGGGTGGTGTGATATGTATAGCGTGAGTCTTTGAGATGATGTTTGTTGATCGCAAGTCAAATGCGCTTTTTGGCCGGCGAGCAAGTTTCTCAGGGGAGATGGGTCGGGCGATGACGCGGATGCGGGGACGTAGTGGTGGTGAAGTTGGAATCGGATGCGATTTATTGGGACTGAATACGGGTGATATTTTGTCTTGCTGGTCGGCTCTTGAAAGGCTATGATACAGTATCGCTGAACTTAGTGGTTGCTGCATTTTTGGTCGAGGTGGAGGGGTGAGCTCTTTTTGGCTACGACCAGACTGCGGTGTCAAGTTTTCCTTTGCCCTTAGTTGTGTGCGTCTTATCTTGAGTGTTATCAAAATTGGTTCAAGGGTATCGTCTGAACATGGAGAAGGGAACGTAGATCGAGACGCGGGCCTAGGCGGAGACTTTGGAGACTTTGGTGAATTGGGTGCAGTCATACTGTCAGTCGGCGACTTCGAGCGTCGAGAGGCCAGGCTATCACTATTGGAACATCGAGAAGTGTTGATAACAGTTAGGTGACTATCTTTCGAAAACTGCCTGGGCGTGTCAAACTCTGTAGGATATGAGGCATGACTCTCAGACGTTGAAACTGGGTACGACTTGATTACTAAAGAGGCTGGTTGAGATAGTGGTTTTTGGTCTACTTGACTGCTTGTCGTGATTCCCATGTCAAAAATGTTCCGAGAATCATCGAAATTCGACGTTTTTGCGAAAGCATTGTAGTCTTGAGTATTTGTAATGTCCATGCCAGTATCATCACCCACCCTGTCTAGAAGTGGTTTGTTCGGGTATCCAAGTTCACGAGACACGCTATCATTCGTTTTTATATTAGATGCGGCGTCGTTCATATCGGTGTTTTGCGTATGCGTATGATCTGGAGATCCGTCTTTCGATAATTTGATATATTGTCCGGTAATGGAGAGATCCTCCTGACTGCCCAACTCCATTCCCGAAATTTCATGTGACAGCCAAGCCCTCCAGTCGCGACTCGTATGAGCTGCTGCTTGATGTTGTGGTGATGGAGTCCCTACCACGTAGCTTCTCACAGACTGAGACGTAGAAATGACAGCTGAGCCAGCGTTTTGGGACTGCCCCAGCTGGCCGGGGCCGTCGAAAGACATGATGCTGTCGTTCGGATTGATGCTAATACCATCTGTGTTTCGAGAATAGATGCTAGGAGACATTGGCGCCATTATTAGCTTCGGCTGTGGTGAGGTGATGGCTTTTGGTGTTGTTTGTGGCTGTCGAGGACTTTGGTTAACGATTGTGTGGCTGTAATCCTCTGCTTTCTCAGTCTGCTCAGCGCTGATATTTGAGGTCTTTTGAGGTTGGGCAACAGACGTTGCAACATCGTACGTCTTGTCCGTCTCACGTGGAAATTGAAAATTCCCAGCCTCTCCAAGCTGGGCTCTCCAGCGGTCTCTAGTTTTCTCCACGCGCCTTTCGATTTGTGAGGCAGATGGGATGAATGTGTTGATACCATGCGGCCATTCCGCGGCATTGTTACTCTCTTGGCTATCTTTGCATTCGGGAATAGTGGTCGATTGAAGTGCGACGTCATTCTTGTAGACATCCTCCGCGTTTTGTTCAAGATTTATGTCTTCAGCCCCGGGTAAAAAATGGTTTCCGACAGGTGTCACTGCACGGATGGTCGATCTCATCGCTCTTCCAAGTGATCTGATTGTGCTAGTTTTGCTTCGGACACTGTGAGCCAGTGTAGATCGTCGGGACTGCGGTCGCCCATCGACATCAATGCTTGGACGGACACTACAGCTTCCAGAGGAATGCAGGTTTCGTATCTGGAATTGATGCTTCCCAGTATTCAGTTCGAGTGCATCACTCTCCGCACCTGATATCTGCCTGATCGGTATTGATGATTCATGAGACAATTTGGTCGAACCAATCTCTCTCATCAAAGCAGAAAAGACCCTTTTTGGGTCAATATGAGTTGTCTTCTCTTCGGTAAGAGTTTCCATGGGCATGGGCTCGCGAAAGGACGAGAGCGGTGGAAGAGGCAATGATTTCCTCCTTGACTCCATCGAGGGATTGGCGCGTTCTGCCTCACTCCCAACGCTATCCTTGGACTCATGAATGACCGTCATGCGTTTGATGGTACGTTGCACTGGTGTATCACCAGTCGAAGTTGTTCCCCAGCTCGTCACTCGGGATGATGGCACCTGGGGAGCATTGACTTCGCTGTGAAGACTACGAGCACTGCGCCCACTGCCAGTACTGTCGCTTCGATTCCCAGACCGAAGTTGATTAGGACGAGCGCTGTCAAGCAAGGAATTACGACCACGCACACGCTGTAGTGTTGCCTCATCTGGGCATGGTATGGAGTTTGTATTCCCAGCGCTTGGAGGACTGACGTGGGAGACATCAAAGTAGTCGCGGCTGGCTTCGATCTGTTGCACAGGAAGGTCATTCCGCTTAGCTGAAGTCCGTCGGAAAACTTTCATGATTCTATGTTTTAGTGAGCCAGAAAAGGAACGTTTCTCTTTCGCCTCTTGCGATGGCAGGAAATCACTGAGGGTGTTGTCATTCATTGGTTTGTCGGCCGTCTGCTCCTCCGACTGTGACGCAGGATGCTTTTCTGATGTACTCTTCGCACTGTCGTTGCCTTTCTCTTGTCTCTTCTTGAATGGTCCCAGGAGTATAGATGGCTTGTGTTTGACTGAATTTTGTTGAAATTCATGTAGGTATTCGTCTCGCGCCTCGTCAAGTGTCACGCCAGGCGCGACAGTGACCGGTATGCGCGGCTCTCCCAAAGGTGAACTTCGAAACGTTCGAGCTTGTGGACGCGAAGATAGAGGCTCTGGCACTGAAGTTTCATTGACCGGCACTGGTGTGTTCAAGTGCTCCACTGGTGGTCTTCCTATTGGCGATCCTGTCTGGACAATGCTTGCGTAGTACATAGAGCGTGCCTTTCTGATCTGTTGCGAGGTCATCGAAGACGCAGCGCTTGGCCGAAACGTTTTCTGTTGAGAGGTAGGCCTGGCCTTCTCACTAGAGGTCCTTGGAGTCTGCGCTGGCAACTGTCGTGGTACCGACGTTGATCCACTGATAATCGGCGCCGGATACAAACTTGAAGGCTGCTCCTTGGTCTGCTCTGTAGTTGATATCAACGCTTGTGACAGGAGCCGATTGCCTCTACTCTGTTCAACTTTTGGTGCTTGCATCGATCGAAAGCTGGATCCGCGAGGGGGGAAATGGTTGCCTTGGGACGTGAAAGATTTGCGGCTGGCGTTGCTCTTGGACCTCGCTAGATCAGAGCTTGGTCTGTTGGTACGTCCTGTCACATCTTGAGTATGTGCCCGTACATATGCCGCTGTAGCAGCCGCCACTGCTTGCTGCCTGACGGCCTCCATATCTATGGGCTCAGCCATGGAGTTGGGACGCTTGTGGACGGTCGAGGCGGACTTGGAGCGGCGGAGACGAGCTTCAATGTCGCTGCTGGCACAGGAAAGCATTGTGATGACGAAGTAAATCTGTCAATCGCTGAGTGAAGGAGGTAAGAGAGTGATCCGACCTATTGAAGCAGTGATAAGGACGTGTTGTCAACATGCAGTGTAAAGAGCGGTAATGAAGCACCGTTGGTGTACGTGGTTTGGAATGCTGAGGTCAATGACACGGTGAGATGATTGTGCGTTGAACCCATGTCTGGTGGTGACTACCCCGTGCTTGCTATTTTGTGGGGTTTAAGACAGTAGCAAACATGTAGCGCAAACAGAAAGATCCTTCTCTCCAGAGACATGGTCGCACCTACGCTTTCAAAGTTGGTCACTTCTAAAAACATTTTACTAATACCACGATAAAAAGTACAAGACAAAGCAGAGCTTGAAGTCAATTGTAAATCCAAACGCAACTCTCACGTAGAATCCCTGCGCTCAGTTGCACCCGGGCGTACTGACAAGGAGTCCCTCCCCTCATCATGGAAACTGTCTTCATCCTCGCCAGTCAGCTCTACATAAGCGGACTTCTTGTCCATTACATTGATGGAGAAAGTTACAAATGTCATCAAGAGGAAGACGATCGCAGAGCTCAAAAATGGCAGTCCCAGCCATGCGTCGCCGAACCCTATGCCCAACTGAAACAGTTCATTCAGCAAGGGCCCACCAACCATGGAGCCAAAGCTCTCGGCCATGGCAATTGTACTCATCAGCTTACCTATGTCGGGGCTTGACTGCCCGCCGACAACATGGATAGAGATAGAGCGCATAGCGGCATTGTAGCCTGAGCCCATATTGTATACAAGAAGACCAAAGACCAATAGAGCAGGATACGCAGAGACGCCCATGACGAAGAAGGAAAACGTGGTAAGGGCAATGGATCCACGTGCGATCCAAATGTCAGCGCGGGGTACTGGGAAATGCAGTTTCTTCAACAACACAAAGTTGATGAGTGGAAGGACAACGCTAATGGCAACGAGGTTAGCAGCTGCTCGGAATGATAGCAGATATGCTGCTTTTTTGATCTCCCAGCTATAGCGCTTAGAAGCATAGCGCACCAAGAGGGCAATGGACTGTCTGCCCAGCCTGTTTGCGAGAAAGGTGAAGACAACCGTAGCGAGAGTCCAGTCGCCGCGTAGAAATTGGACTGTAGCCTGGAAGTTACGCAATTGCGAGCGAACCGAGAAATGACCCGACATCGGCTGCAACTCAATGGATTGTGTCTCAATATTTTTCGGTTCCTCAAGGTTGCGCAAATGCAGGGTCTCCGGTATAAAGAGCGACACGATGAGGCCAACAGTCTGAAACGCCAGAGCGAGTAGAAGCGGCAACCAGTCTCCGTATTCCATCAGCCGCGAGGCCATCATGGGTGCCACCATTTCTGCAACCAGAATACATGCGGTCAAGTATAAGAAAATCGTTGTACGCTTTTCCGGTGGTGCGATATCGGAAATCATGGTCAGCCCGATAGCCATGGCAACAAAGGCACCACCACCGATGACCATGAAGGCGCTCGAGAACCACGTTAGCTGTAGGGGTAGAGTCTTGAGATAACCTGCACACACGTCAACACAAGTTCAGATCTCCTTTTCTAACGCGTGCACTTACATATCAGCAGAGTCCATGCATAACTTAACACAATGCCGACCAGACTTGCGGCAAAGATCCATTTTCTGCCTATCCGATCAGCCAGTGTTCCAAAAGGAACTGCCAACAAAAGTCCAGGGAGCGCATTGAACATCTCTTGCCATCCAAAGATACTAGCCAGTCGCTGCTGCACTATATCCACCTTGCATAGCTCCTCCGGTATCGTTCCATCCTCTATTACCGAGGGGTCTTGCTCCAGATAGTATTTGTAGCACAGGTTCGCTTCGAAGATACGCGTCATGGGCGGGTCGGCAAGGTATGCGCCTATGTCGATGAAGGCGACGAGGACGACGATGAGGCCTACAAGGAGGAGCCATGGCTTGTCTCCTGTAGTGGGCTGCAACGCGTCTGGGGCGTCAATGGACGGTAGGAAGGCCTCCTCTTCCTCGTATGGTTCTCTCGGTGAGTCTGGTTTTACAGCCATCTTGAGGGCTTATCCGCGATAGGGAGCGGTTGGCGGGAGATGTAAGACGGAAGCATGCGTTGAGGACAGTTTGTTTACGCGTATGTGGTTACAAAAGGCAATGCCAGCATTCCTAAGAGGTTTCTGCTTTCATGTGTTAGCAGGAAAAGTAAGGCAGAGCCATCGCAAGGAGATCTGCGCAATGGGCAGGCCGTGTCAGATCCGAGGTGTTGATGTTGGGGCTGTGAAACTGCCTGGTAATTGGCGGTTCTCGGCGCGCATCCCTCGAACGCCAAGTGTCGCGAAAGCATAGCCATGATTACGCTAGCGCTGGAGAGGATTCAGTACTCTCCATCGCTCAACCTTCGTTTTTTAGATGAACGCGATGGACGATATGAGATGATGTTTCTGGACCTGCAAGTCAGGAAGTGCAGCTACTTGCGCAGGAGCGACATGAGACCCTGCATAGGTAGTACATTGACGATCGCTTCTCAATGGCGATATTGTAGTGCACCCATCCAACACTCATGCACTTGGCAAGCAGACGCATCATTAACAAGCTATCTCCACCTTTTACCGGAGATTTATATGCTATACTCCTGTATTGTGCAATCAAAGAATAAATCATTGTGAGGCAAACGTTGCCGGGTTTTTCTTCAAATACGCAGGTAACCAGATGTTATTTTCGCAGCCAATATTCCTGTACTAGGCCAAAAAGCCAGTTCATACGTATCTAAGCGCGGTGGACTCATATTTAAGATACCAGTCATATCTCTGCTCACTGTATATGGCCCTGATGTGTAAGATGCCTCTGACTATTATAACGCTCAAGTAGGGGTTTGAACTAAATCCGATTATATATCTTACCATTGATGTTAAATACTCATCCCGATAATACGAAAGCAGAAGCGTCGGATATAGAAATGCGGTAGTATAGCTTTAATCTCTCAGGAACTTTGAACACTTACGTCCGTAGATAGAAAATCCGCTCCATATTTTTTTACATCAACTATGAGGTTCACTGTATGCATATCTAAGTCATGCATTAACTGAATTACCATTTCAGCTACGATCAGGAAGGTTTCAATCCAATTTAAAGAATCACATATCCGCTATTCAGACGACAAGATAATACCATTCCTCGCTACCCTATATATCAAGCCCATCCGCGTTTTCTATCCTCTTCACCCGTCCACCCTTCGCATCCTCCCACATCCAACATTGCCAATCCCATTTGCTATGTTGACCTATCAGTACTCCTCCAAACCAACACTAAGGACCCAAACTTACACATCTTCCACACTTCACCCCTGAGCATTGACGCAAACTTGATACACATTCCGACTACTCTGGAAGCAGTAGCCTGGGTTCTCACCACCTTGTCGGATCGCGTAGTCCCCGGAGTTCCTGCAAGCAGCTAGGCTCGGCCAAGTTTGGTCTAGGCAGTTTTTCGTGCGGGCTTGGGCTTGGATGGGACATGCCAGAGAGAGGAGGGAAACGAGGGTAAGAGAGAGGGTGCTGGGCTGCATTTTTGCGGTTATAGGCTGTATCGATTTTTTTCCAAAGAGAAGGTAGATGAGGGAGGTTAAAGAGTAGGCGGTTCAGAACGTAGCGGTGATGGAGGACAATGGGTATTTATGGGCAAAGGGATTGGGTTTGTATATTCCTCTGACTTATCTGGTAGGTATTGCCAATACTATATACTCGACAATCATTTCTTGTCTCGGAAATTTGCTGCTCCAAATTCTAATCTCTTTTTTTCGAGCTATTTTACTGATACGAATAGCCGCTTGTCTAGTTTTTCGTCTAGTGTTTTGACGGCTATACTTAACACAACGCTAGATGCTGATGCATTAATGCGTCACGGAGCTAGAAGTTTCTAGCGCTTTGCCGTAACTGACTCGGTGAATCGGACAGGATAAGTCAATGAATCATAAACAGCGCCGATGAATGGTGCAGTCTTGGCTACGCCTTACTCCTTCATCCTACTGCTGTCACTGATCATAGCCTTCGGAATTAGCCACCGTATCCATTTACCGTTTTGACGACCCACTGCTCACTGTTGTATCTATTAGCTCATAACTAGTGTGACTGCAAGGTGCCCCTTACCATACCTACTGTCTTCTCCATTATCCTAGCCTTCCTACCTACTATTCCAACCGAAAAAAACATGCAGTCACATATTGTGCAATCTGAACCTTGTCAAAAATAGCTTGAAAAGAATACACCAGGTTAAAGCATACCCCGTACAAACAATATCAAATCTTCTTGGAGCTTAAGAAATCTCATCGCGTCCCTTCAAACACACAACAAATAACTCACCTGGTACAAATAATCTCACGTAGGGCATCCTCTATCCAGCCCGGATCTTCAATACCACCTAAATGAAGCCGGAACTAGCAACCTCATTATTTAGTTGCTTCAAAACATCCGTGCTACCAAGCGCAGAGCTCCGTTTGCTTGGCACTGCCGTATCAAAATAAGTTCTACTCGGTCGCTCCCTCACTTGAATATTCGCTCTTCGTTCAGCCAAAACAGTGACAAAAAAGCAGACAGTGACATAGATACAGAGAGCAAAGATTCAACTGAAAAGTGCAGCAGGCATTGATACCTAGTATTTGTTGTTGTATTGATGTTCTTTCATCTACAAAAAAAGAAAAAAACATCGATTTAGCTGTATAGATCACATTGTCTACAAAGTCTATATGTTAGAAAACTCAGCCACCATACCGACATCTGCTGCAACTTTGCGATCACACAAAGCACTCCAAGCTCCCTCAATGCCTTCTTCCCCTCGAACAGCATTCAAGACATTCACCTGTAGACTGGCAAAAGCGTCTTCTTTCAAACACCTATTCCACGTCCCGTCTATCTGCTGAGAGAATTCCAACGCGCCTTGAGATTCGATGACACGATCTCGCAGCCCGCTCGTGTTGACCAGGACCTTGGTACTAGCAGTCGCCATTCTGGCTGCAATCTCCTCTTGAGTATAGACTTTGGCTTCGTAGCCCACAGCAACGACAGTGACTTTTTGAGCAAGCTTTGATGCCGCGGCCCTGACTGACTCGAGGACTGCGTTGGATGCGCCGAAGTCGACAATCACTACCCTTGATGGGTCGAATTGCTCCGCCCAGGCCATGGCGCTTGTGTCGTCGTATGTAGCTGCCTTCATTGGCAAGGGCGATTCGTATCGGGGCAATGTGTTGGGGACTGATGTCATTTGTATCAAGGCACGAGGACCGTGTTTTGATACATCTCGATTCCTGGCCATTTCCCAGCCAAAGCTTCGGCCAGTCTTGCTTGAGGCGGAGAGACTAACGACTATGGCCGACGATAAGTCGGCATCCTCCTGGGACCATGGCGCACCGAAGCCAAAAGGGTGAATACGTCGTGTGGAAAACACGCTTGTGTTGAGCAGATGCGGGCCCTGCCAGAGGGGTTTGCAGAGCGCGGTCATGCGCATGGTCTGCGCATCGCTTTCACTAACTTGCTCGTAGCTGTTGTACATAGTCATGAGCTTACTTCGCTGCGCGCTGCGCTCTGGCCAATGGCCCGATGGCTCGATTGCTTCGAGTTGGAGGTCGACGGCGTGCTCTGAAGTAGGCCACATGCCCCACAGCAGCGACCCTGGCGCTATGGCATCAATTGTGCTCTCGAGGACGCGACCATAGCCCCAGGCTGGCACGATGCCCCATTCTTCCCGATTGTTGAAGGGAGTTGGACTCGATTCAGGGACGGGATAGGTATCCCACCACTTCAGAAGGGTTCCCGATCGGGCGTAGGTCAAGTTGTTGTAGGTGAGGGAAACAAGCCATGTCTGGACACGGACTGAAGATGCCGCTAGGCTTGGAAGGTCCTGATCAATGTGAAAGACGGCATGCTTGGCGTTATCTAGCTTGGACACAACATGTATAGATTTTGCCATTATGCGGCAAAGTAGGACAGGCTTTGGCACTGGAGTGTCAGAAGTGCGGGTAAATGTAGCCTTTTTACGGCTGCGCATGCAGGTATGGACAGCTTTTTATCTTGTCCAATAGTGGGGTTGAGGCGCGCCACCACTCACTCTCCAGGAACAAGGGCATCCAAACATAAGAGGTTGACAGAGACGCTAAGGCAGGATGAGGTGAGAGCTCACATCCAGCGGACTTTCGTCGGCTGCACATGTCCGGGACTCTGGGCTTGCTGATTGGCTCACTCTGCGGAAGGTCTAGTCCCCATTGGGCGATGCCCGCGGCATCCCATGTAGAATCAGACGACAGATGTGTTTGTCATGATGGTAGCGTCTATGATGAATGCAAAAGCTGCAACTTTATTAGGAATTGAAAGGGTCTATGAGATAAGCTGCAATGCAAATCTTCTCTTCTGTTTGATCTTGATTGAAAAGCAGATTTGAAGTGTTCCGCTGCTATGGTTCAAGACGCGGACATTCTTTTGCGAGCGATCAATCGGTACAGTATGATACTCCGAGCATCTCCATCTTGGCAAAAGAAACTGCGCGTACATCATCGCAGGTAGGGCGGCAAAACCCCCAGACACCATCTTGCGCGGACATCAAATTCCATGAAGGTCTCAAGCAGCGAGGCTCGACTGGTTCCGGTCTGGTACAACACGTTTGGATTACAATCTCGGGACGCGTTCGAGCCATAGCTGGCCCAATCTTGTCGAGAGCAAATCCATACGCTCGGAACAATCGAGCTCGTAGTATGGATGGTAAGACACAAGGTCGAGGGAGAAAGCTAGGCGGCGAGGTGGAGGGGCTGTTTACCTATACGTGAATTACGAGGTCTGAAAAAAAGTGTGTATCGAATTTTGAATGAATGGTAGCAAACGAGATTGTATGACAGATTAATGTTCAAACGAAAGATCTTATTGCAGTATGACGAAGGAAATGCTGAAGTTGATGTCGTGGTTGCGGGTGAAAGAAAATTGAAAATGCCCACGCGTGGATAAACAAGGGGTCGTGGAAGTGGGGAAACACCCTTTTCCGGCATCAAAGGGCCATTAACGCCGGTTCTAGCACC